TATTATAATTCACTTTTAATAAATCGAAGCAATGCTTCGATTACGATTAAGCTACACTTTTATTTTTATATAAGTACTCGCTTCCTTTTTCTTTCTTTTCTTTTTTTCATCATCATTACAACTATATTCAATTCAACTTCTTAACTTTAACACTTAACTTCTCAACCTCAACCTTAACATTTAACTTCTTAACCTTAACTTTAACACTTAACTTCAACTTCTTAATCTTAATACTTAACTTCAACTTCTTAATCTCAACACTTAACTTCAACTTCTTAACTTTAATACTTAACTTCTTAACTAACCTTAACACTCAACTACAATCACATTCAACTTAAGTAATTATTTTCTTTTTGATTCCTTGCTTTTTAATTCTTTGCTTTAAGCTAATTATTTTTTTTATTTAGCAATATCGATTCCTTTCTTTTATAACGCTATAGTCGAGATCAACCTTTTTAGCACCGGTAATAACAAGCTAATCAACGAGATACTTAATTGTTATAAAGATTTCGTAGTCGTTTATGCTGATAGTAACGTTATTAATTCAATGTTTACTTGCTATGACGAAGAAAATACCGCTTTGTTTTTAAGACTAATCGGCCTCGATTACGAATAGAAAGGTCGCAAAGGTTTTGTCGACGAGTTCGGCATTAAGCACTACGGTGCTAACAAAGTTAGTAATAACATTTATATATTATGATCACTAATTGATTTTTTATTTAAAAAGAGAGCGCTTAAGTCTTTTATCTCCTCGACTACTTTGTCTTTTTCTTTAATTCAATTAGAAAGCAATTCACTTATAAGAATATTAAAGTTCGATTAATCTTAAGTGATCTTACTCTTAAGCTTTTCGATAGCGATTATGCCGAAGCTAAAAGCATCTTAAAAGAGCTATTAATACTATACCCTTTCATTATCGATAGCACTTTAGCATATAAACGCTTCACTTTCAAGTTTTCGGATGAAAATGAGTTTAAGTAAAGCAATAAGTATTAAAAGCTAAAAGAGCTACTTGAGTTAGACGAGATTTATCTAAACTATGTGTGACGAACTGATGAATTCTGACCTTAGAATACAAAGTGAAGAGAGGAAAACAGGAAGCTCAGGAGAGCTCAAGAAGGTCTATATACATGGCCACAGGCGCTAGGCCTGAATAGGTGATCAGCTGATGCAAGTAACGAGGCAGGCTGTCACACTACCCCTTTAGAGAGCGGTCCCAGCTCTCTTAAAAGTACCTGACAGAGGAAGGGAAAAAAAATTCAGTCGTGAACCATGGTTCACGGGTGGAATTGCTGAAAAAAAACCAAAAAATACGCCGAGGCTACCGATCGTAGCTTCTAGAAGCGTTCCAAATCCGCCAAAATATCCTCCCTTTCGTTTGAATCAAACCCCCTTAAACCCTTGTTCTCTCGAAAAGAACTCGTCTCTTTGTTCAAGGCTTAGCTAAAAGGAAGGAGCACCTAGCAATCCAAATTGATTGCACCACAACGGGTAGATTGATAAGCTTGCTGATCGAGGGAGCTGTGAAGAGCATGCTAGAAGGTGGGATTTCGATCTTCTAAAAAGCTAAGTCTTTGTTTGATTGTCGAAAGAGTTCTATAGCGCCGAAGGAACCGAAAGCGTATTGCAAGTGTTCGAGATGCAAATGCTTGAGTATTGAGAGGTCGGTTAGGTCGCCGAAAGAGAAAGGGGCCCGTGGCCGTGCGAGGGCGGTTTTGAAGAGGGGCCGAAAGGAGCCGAGGGACGAAGAGAATCCGTAGGACGGGCCGGGAGAAAAACCAAAAGGACCGGAAGAACTGAAGAGCCGAAAAGCCGAAAAGCCGAAAAGCCGAAAAGCCAGAAAAGGGGAACTCGTAAGAACGAACCGAAAAGCTAGGAAGGCCGAGAGAGCCGGAAAAGCGTTCAGGCTGCTGAATGACGTGCGCGTACTCGGTATACGTTAAGGAGCGTCAATTTGGCTGTTTGAGCGAGTCCGTATAGTTGAATGAGGACCGGGAGCCGTATCGGAGTAAACGTAATTGGGTTGAGTAGTGGGTCCGCTAAGAGCTTTACCGCCGATAAGGAGCTGGGCCGTAAGAAAGGGGAGCCTAGCATCCTATCGCTGAACCGTACCGCAAGCGAAAGCTAGCTGGTCCGAGAATACCGATATTGTAGTTCCGAACTTCCGAACTTCCGATCGCCGAAGTCTTGAGCTGAAGCGTTGAATAAGGACCGTATAATTGAACTTATCGGGATCCGAAAAGAGAACGCATTGCGCTAGCGAAGGGCCATTCGTAATTGCTTTACGAGAGATTCCAATTGAGCGATTCTCGTAAGGGAGGAAAGGCCGTCGTCTTCGTAGGAGGACATGGTGGTGGAAATGGAGGGAGGGGGGGG